GACAACAAAAGTAATGAATGTCGAATGTGCCATTTTGCGCATTGCATGATTAGCGTCTGTATACACTGAATAACTCAATCATACAAAATCGGAAATTTTTATTTTATGTAGACAGTCAGCAGTTAGTGGGTAGTTGTGTACATTGATACTTTGCATTATTCTATCACTTTCATCAATAGATGTTGCTGATTAAAATACATGGAAGCACCTATATATGTGTATGTATATATATATATATATATATATATATATGTATATATGTATATACATGGCAATTCTAGAGTCGTTTTTAGTCACAAACCTCAATCTCAAACCCCGGAATTTTCAATCCTAATATTCTCTACGAAAAATTTGGATGAGAAGCCTTCACAAAAACTATTTCCGGTGGCTTTTTCCTACGGGACATCATTGAAAACATTTCGTTGAACTGAATCTGTTTGGGTAGTCATATTTTGCATTCATTTTCGAAATTCTTTTTTAGTTTTCGGTATCGGAGATAAATGGAGATAAATGAAGTCTGTAGCTTTGTCAATATTGTTGTATATAAATAAAATATTAGTTTTTAAAGGAAATCAGTTGTTTGCTGTTTCAGCCTTAGTGCATTTGTGAGGCATATAATCTAAGTACACACGCATACCCACATATATACATCAACTTGTAAAATCTTCGTTGTAAGCGAACCTGGAAATTAAAGGAAATTGAAATTTCATCTATCAAGATAATGGGCGAAGAATTGAGTGACTTTTACGACATTTTACAAAAGGTGCACATATCACAAAAAGGGATGAAAAAATTTGTTGAGCTATTGCTGAGTATTGCTGATGGGCCGAACGTATGCTAACTAGATGGCCAAAACTGTTGAGTTGCGTGGTTGCAATTTACTAAAGCAATTTTACAATGGAAAATTTTTCATATGAATTTATTTTTTTCCTTTGCAATTAAACAGAAAAGAAGGCGCGTTTTCAAGAGAACGATAAACGATAAAAGATATATTATTGAAAGTATTGTCAATCGGTACTTATTCATTTTGCTCTTCGACTATACAGACAAACTAGATGTTGAATGGACATCTCGTCATCGCATGATTTGTACCGTACTTACGTAACTCTTATAGGCAATAGTCGTGCGAAGAAGTTACAATTGGTTAATTGTTGGCAGATAAAAACCTATGTAAGCACTATTTTCAATATTTGTTGCTATTTACAATGTATTTGTATTGAAAATGCTTTAAGTAGACGTATACATTTCCTTCCTTAGTTCCATTCATCCATACGTTATATTAAATCTGAACCAAGTCAAATGTCGAATATCCATTTCTTTTATTCAAATGATGGCCGTATACACGCCCATAATTCGGGTCAGGTAATACTATTTCAAGAATCAATATTTTTGAAATTAACCTATTGCTTTTTTATACAATAATTATTTTTAATTGTAAAATTTAGGTTTTTTTAAACGAAACATAACGAGTTTTCTACCCAATTAATAAATAATTTAAGGGAAAATATTTGTCACCATATTATACCTATATTTGCGGTTAATTTTATGTAATCGAAATGTGTTTATTTTTAAATAACCGCAAGCCTATAAACATATCCATTAACAAAATAGAACAGGGAATAAACTACCGTAGGTATAAAACGAACTTTCCAATACTCGTCATTCGTCTTTCTTAGGTATTTGAACGAAATATGATTGCAAGGTGCGCAGTATACGTCGTCAATTGTTTATCATATATATTGGATATGTGAATATATGTTAAAGGTTTTTTAAATGCTTTTTAAGTTCAATTCTTAACTTCGTTAAACTTCGTTTTGTTGAACTAACTTTTAGCATTTCATCTAGGTTTTCCTTTCGACCTAGCGAGATGTGAAGTCTGTGCCGAAAGAATAATTGATTTTTGCAGGCTGTCGCCCGAAAGTTTTCATCGGGAAGATATCGACTCTAACAAGTGTTAATTGGCTGGAAGAAAATAAAAAAGAAAAAATTGAAAAAGGGCGTAGCGAGTCGCGACGGCACATTTCAAGCTCAGCGCTGCTGATGTTGTACTTTTCGATTTGATTTTGAGGTCACTTGCGTCAGAGCTAGTTTGCGTTTATTTTTCAGTAATGGCTCATCATACGCTATACCCAGATAATCCTGCCGCAGTGTTATAAACATTTCGCTTCAGTGTTCGCCTTGATCGCTCCTCCTATTGGCAGTAAGCTTTCTTACAAACTTCATGCTGTTTTGGAGTATTCGCTTATGAATATTATTTTCAATTGCTTTGAGTTCCGTGTTCGATTATATCTTTGACGGTCTACTCTACTCAAAGAAACTGTGTTGTGTGCATTTGCTTGATTAAATAAATTGTGCTGTGATGGAAATCCTAGGGATGGTATTTTGATAAACAAAAAAACAAATTAAAAAAAAAAACAACACAATCTAATCGAATGCAATATAAAATCTCCCTTGAGTTTTATTAATTGAAGCAAATTTACAGCTCAACTGTTCTTTTGGAAAAATTTTTAAGACGTTACTCTTTATTTCATTGGCCAGATATACAAGTTGATATACGAGTAAGTCAATTATTTTCTACGCTCCCCATTCAGGAAAGTTTTACTTTCTAAAATCTTTGCGGCCGACTAACTCATAGAGTCTGTACAGTTTGTCGTTCTATGCCTCTGTAGGGGTTGTTTAGGGAAAACCAAATAATAACAAAACAATAAAAAAAGCAACTATGACAACATTAAACATAAAACGTTCAATATTTATTATCATCGATTTAATGTCCATAAGGAGTGTTTAGTTAGTTTAGTTAATTTAGTTTGTTAAACAATTGCTTGGCTTTGTAAACATATGCATACGCTTGTACATTGGATATACATAGTATGCGGTCACGTCGACAAACCCCAAAAATAAAACTCAATCACGTATGAAACTGTCGAATAAATAACCAAAACGACAACAGAGGGTAATAAATGTCATGCGTTGTCACCTATGAAGCGTTATTATTACGGGTTAATTCCTGTTTTAATATACATAATATATAATATTATTTAAATTAAACATACATATCGTTTATATATACATACACATATACATACATACATACATACATACATACATACATACATACAGATAATAGTTCAAATTAAATATCTTGTACCATAGTTTTAATAAATTTTCAATTTTATCTAATGCAATGAATGTAATAAAATATTTTAATGAGAATATTTGTTTAAAAAAAAAAAAAAACTAAAATTTTTCTCATAATTATGACAGAAGAGATTTAATATAAAGAAATCCGTATTATCTGGATAATTAGCTGGTGTTTGTCTAATATTCCTTTCAGATAAATTCTATATCAATAGCAAGAAGGACACAATGTTGGACAGCGTCAAAGGAATCGATTAGTTACTTAGACAAGTGCTCGACTAAAAGAAGCACTTACCAGATAAAGCAGCAGATGAAAAGGAAAGGGAAAAGAGGGAGAGGGCCTGGGAAGCGTAGCAAATCCCCATTCAGTATTCCTCACGGGAAAAAACACAGAATCGGCCTTGCAATATACCGCCTAGAATTCACCTGTGCAAGAGCTATAGTGCATTGCTTTGAACTTTGATTTAGATTCTGGCCTTAGACCCTGCCTCTAATGATTGGCAAATTTCACGTTTACTCCTTTCACTAATCAGGTCACTAACGGTTCCGTTGAATTCCGTTGATTGTACTAATGATATTAATAGTTCGCCGGATATTCGTTGCATGCTCACATTGTTTTTTTTTTTTTTTTGCCTGATTCAGTTCATTCGCAGTTCTTTTTTCAACTAAATCACTTTTAAGCTTTTTCTCTCCCGTGCATTGAGTAACCCAGTTTAGTGTTGTTTACACTGCCGTGACGTCATATGTGCTTGCGCGCAAAGCTTAAAGATACTTTAATAGTTTTTTAATACTAATAGGGCGTAATTGCAATTTTATCCAACATATTATAATGTGATCTACGATGCTTTTTGAAGGTGGCATCAAGCTTGCCCTCATGGTACCCAAAAGATTTACTCACTTACATGCATAAGTAAATATATAGGTTCGTTATATTCGTAAGAGTATCGTGTATAACGTAGTTTTGTTAATACGTTGCTCAGAAAGGTATACATTTCCAAATGTTTGAATTTGCGTTTGAGAGATCTGCAGTCGATTTTATCGTGTCGGATGATTTTCTTGTAGGCATGAGACAAGAAATAAACGTCTTCAGGTCAACACGTTCTCTAACACGTAATATTTCGAATTCAAATCTAAAGCATTCTTCGTCTCATTTAGTAGTCTTCCGTCCACTTAGTATAAATTGCGTTCGCAAATATTTTAACTAACATACTGCGCCTGAAAATCGACGGACAATACAATTAAATAAAGCATATAGTAATCTATGGCGGTGCCCCACATTCTTTCGGCGCCTAACTGCTTTGCTGGGTGCATTTGTGATTGGCACCGCTCTCAAACCGCATAGAAGAATAGGCACTTCACTTGATTGATTGAACGACAGTTTTCTTATTGGGTTAATAGACGCTATGAACATGGTAGAATATATATAGAAAAACTTTGCTACCTTTAAGAAATACTTTTCGTGAAATTTTCATCTTTTCCCGAAGTGTTCCAAGCACTGAGCAAGACTGTCCACGACAAATTAATCCCAGCTGGCATCTTGCTTCATAATGTCTTATCTGCCGATTTTTTATTTCACTAATATCGGATCGGAACTGAATAAACTTTTCAAAATAAAAATGCTTTAGTTTATGTTGATTGAGATGACCGCTGCTATGCGATGTCAGGCTAGGAACAACATGAAAGCTTTAACGCTTAGGCTAAGAAATTGCAAGTTTGCGATGAAGTTTTTAGATTTGGCCACGAATTCGTTTATAGAATTATAGATTTTCTACCCTCGTTACATAATCTTCGACCAAAGAGCATAAGGAAAAATACTCGAGTGTAGACAAGAAATTAATGTCGAAAAATAATGAACAACTTACTGTAATAAAGCAGCATGTCTACGGCATATTTCATAACTTGTAACGCTTAAACGACGTGTAACATTATTCAGTAACTTTTTTAACCTTTTTCAACTATTTATCTATGCTAGGCATATTCGTGGGCGTAACGCACCAAATTTGTGATTTCGTTTTTACGTCGAATGTTTGAAGCAAAGTTTGATGTTGGGAGCTTCGACGATAGATTACAAGCCGGTAGACAAAGAAATCAATCGGTTCTTGAGATGGTGGGATCCCGTAGTGTCTGTTTAGTTTTATGATCGAAAAGTTTCGTTTCTATTCAAATTCATTATACCTATTCCAAATAGCTTACAGTTTGCTGTGGACATGTTCACCAACTCACATAATATTCTGCATTAAGTCGCAAATGGATGACAAAATTTTAAATATTTATTTGCCTTTAGGTCAACTATAGATAGAGTGTAAAATCCGTTACATTCGAAATATATGCATACGACGTTGCATAAACCATAGGTGTTCTTGATTAGCGTAAATAGTGGCTACGACTTAATTGTGTACGTTTATCCTTTTGCTGCAATTCCGTCAATTTAACTCAACAAGCTTTACGCTTGCCGTTTAGTCCTTTTGTTCTATTATCGTCACATTTAATTCATAAGAACAGCAATTTCCTTGTGATTAGCAGAAATCGTTTCAGGTTTCCTGTACTTCAATTTTAATATGTTAAATTTGTGTATGCACGTTATATAATTATAATATTCATATGATTACGAAATTTACCTTACGTGAGCGCGAGCAGTATATCAGCTGTAGAAGTCAGTCGTGACAGGACGAAATATATATACTTTAAGTATATTATATTCACAATCTTACGGTTTCCGAGCTATGTATTTTTTATTTTTTTTCATATTGCGCTCCGTAAAGAAGACACGTCTTGTGAGGCTAAGTGCAAAGAGAGCCTTTTATCAAATCACTGCTCGAGCACCACTTCAAAGTGAAAAAAGTTTGATTAATACGAAAAAAGAAATAAGAGAAAACAGTTGTTACAAGGGTGTGTAGAGGAAGCGTGGCTCTGTTAACGTTTCTGAGTGAGATTTCCGCTAAAACTTTGAACTTTCGTAAACTGAAAACTCAGCATGTAAAAGTCTTTTGGACTTGATGTTAGCAGTGTTTTCCAACGATGATTTTCTAAGAGTGAAGCAATTCGCACCTAACAGCAATGTTCAGGATATTCGCCTTTATTGTCAGTTTCATCGGTTCATTGGTTCCGATCACGTTTTAATAGCACCATCTTTCAAACTAAGTAGGAAACGTAATACCTCCGCGTTCAGCGATTTTTTTTTTTTTTTTTTTTTGTGTGACAGGCAACTTAACTTATTGAAAGTTTTCACACACTTTAGCGAGATAGCTTAGAAATATTACTTTGAAATGGAGAAATGACACTTTAGTGAACACTTCAATGACGAGCTAATGCTATGCCTTGCGGAGACAGGTAACGGTTTTTTAACGCCTAGCATTTACTTTTAATCGTGCTACTGCACAAGTCCTCTCTTTATTGACCTTCTGAAAGGAAAGCGCAAATACAAAATTTCATTCTGATGATTTTTGTTGTTTTATCTAATGAATTTCTCGGTGATTTTTTTTTTCAATCGTTTCATCAATCGCCACATACATAAGACCGTTTTATTTTACAACCAACATTTGCAGGTGAACGACCGAAAATCGTTATTTACTTTAGTTAATTTTTGGTGTCGTGTTAAGCTTACGAGTACTTTCGTCCTGTCGCTTACTAGCTTGGTATGCATGCAGCCACTGGAATATGCAATATAAAAATCCTAAAATTCATCTAAAACATTTAAATGACGGAAATTGCACGCAATATATTATTATAATCCGGTATTGAGTAAATAAACTTCTGTGTATGTTTATCGAACAAATTTATTGAAAATAGTGAAAGGAATGTGAAAGTGTGAGAAAAATCATTCAAACAAAATTTTTATATGTAACTGTGTTTTTCCAACAACTATTTCAATATCTACATTTCTCAATTTCAATAGGCTTGATATTTTTTAGGTAGAGCAAAATCAAGTCGGGTGTAAATATTAACAACTTCGATCCAACTTCGAATAGTTTTCGTTTATTTATTTCTTGTGCCTTTAAGGATAATGACGGATATAATCGTTGGTAGATCATGCTCATTTTCTAATTCGTTTAACTGAAGTGAAGTTAGCCCACTGTACCTAATCCACATTTTATCAAAGCCAAAAATGTGGGCTGTCGCCCACATTCGCTTTTGGATTCGCGTCTCTGCAAACGTGATTGATAATTGAACGCTGCAAAATGATTCGAAAATCTAAGCAAAATTAGAAATACAAGCATAAATAAAATAAGAAATTATACAGAAATATTATTAGATATTAAAAAAAAACAAATTTTTCTTGTATTTACCATATAGTGCATGTGTAGCGTTGGCGAAAAGTTTCAATATATAAAGTGTGCATAAAATATTTTTATGAAATCAGCCATGCGCAATTTATTGATATGTGTTAAAGGATGCTAAAACTTATCAGGAAAAGAGAAAAATTCAGTTTATGACTGTTGGGTATGACCTTTGACGATTTATTTCAATTTGTATAGTACTTATTATATCCGTATTTTCCGAACGCTCTAAGTCTCCTTGTGTTCCAACGTCGGTTTTTTTTAGATTTTTCTGACAGATTTTAGCGTCCTTTAAGACATAAGGCAAAAAGCTGCGCATGGCTTATTTCGTAAAAATTTTTTATAACTAATTGAGTGCTTTGGGTATATGGAGAGAGCCGGTTTTTGGCGAATTCCGAGGTGATGTATCCTGACAAGGGCAATGAAGTTAGGTTTTTCTGATAGATTTTAGCATTTTTCACGACATATTAACAATCGGTAGTCTACAAATGGTTATAACACGACTTCAACAATGCATTCTGTCAACATTTGTAACGTACTTTTGCATGAGATTTACTAGCAATAACTAAGCATTTTTGCTTTTGCGTTCGTAATTATCGGCTTAGTATATTTTATATGTGCACGTTTGCTAAGATTATTTAATTTTAATACTTATTTTACTTTATTGTTGTTTATTTCGCAATAAATTCTTGCTTAGCAAGGACATATTTTAGTGAAGACACGACCCATAAAATGTGGGTTATCTTGGGAGGCTATCTTCACTTCAGTGCCGTTTAACGGAATCGAATCCAAGTTTCAGTTTTTTCTACTTATTGTTGCAATTTTAGGATGATGGTTAGACAAGCAATCGGACGTGACTAATTTGATGTAAAAGTTCACGCTAATTAAGAAATGAATGTTTTTGCCTTTATGTGCCTTTTTGCGTTTTAATAAATGGGAAATAAAAAATAAATAAATAAACATTTAATAATAAGAATATTATTACTTGCAAGCATACATAAGTTGAAAAAAAGAAATTTAAGGAAAGAGTATTAAATGAAAATTATCCTTCGGCGATGGATTTACTTATTTATTTATTTATTTATTTATTTATTTATTTAGTCCACTTATACTAGAAACTCAACTAAACAAATAACAGTCGAGTTCAATTGGCTCTTAATGCAAAACTTATATTAATTAATAATAAAATTTAGTATAAGTATAATAAAACAAATAAGAAGAAAAAAAAAAGAAAAAAAAGCATGTGCACTATCAGCATAGGGCCACACTTACAACCGGTACAAGACCAAATTGCAAATGAACCCCTAAGCCGTCGCAAACATGCATAAGCCTGCCAACCGATAATAAATTGACAATAATTCATTTTCGAAACGTAACGACTTTTTAAGGATAGAAGCTAGTTTAAGTAAGACATAGGTAAATCGCGCGTATTAAGCAATGTTGCTTTAATGGACTTTAAAGGGTCCGATAACGAGAATAAGTGGTAGACATCATTTAGGTTCTTGCAAACGACTCTCAGTGGATTGAACAGCTCATAATTAAATTTACACTGACTAAGCTTAACCAAGATAAAGTGCCTAGAGAAGTGGTTAGGGACATTAAAGCTTATGTCACCAAGTAATAAAGGCGAGTCAATAGCACCATTTATTACTTTGACTACAAAGGAAACGCCAAGAACCAACCTACGTTTCTCAAGAGACGGTAAGGATAACAGAAGCAACCTATTGTCATAGGGAGGAAGAGAGGCAATCGGATCCCAACCCAAATTTCTAAGGGCAAACAGCAAGAATTGCTTTTGAACAGATTCAATTGAATGTACATAGCACGTATATGAAGGAGACCACACAACTGAGGCATACAGCCTTTTCGTAATGTACGGATCATCAAGCTCTTTGGACCACCTTAATTACTATAAAGGATACCATATTAGACACAAGTTAGACTTTGCATCGTTGTGCGTACAAAGCTCAATACATATGGTTATGATGTAGATATGTATGTAGATAAGTATATAAACGATGACTGTCAAACAAAGGTTGCTTTCTAAACGATATTGAATCTTAGTTGTTGTGCATGTGAACAGGAATTTGATGTGGGTGTGCGGATTACCGCAACGCAGAAATCCGTAAACCTTAATAACTAGAGATTAAATAGTAAATGCGAAAATTAAGTTAACTTTTTAAAAAAGTTTTTAGTTGACCTAGTTTCGTAGCACATTTACGTAACTAGCTTGATGGCCACTAATCTAATTATAGCCTACTATACAATTGTTGTTTCGTTTTACGTTACTTTAATCACTATATCTTAAATCACTTGTGGTACAATGGTATATTAAATTTGAGCGGATGTAAGCACAGAAGGTTTTGAGATAGGCCCAGCTCTCATGATACTGATTCACTTTCTGCGTCAATGTATACTTGTTTATACCTACGCCCATATTGTATTTTTGAGTTCAACTTTTGGAGACGTTTTTTTATGAAATATGACACAACACCGTGTTTTGGCTCGAAAATGAACACTGTTGGAATGGTCGGACCCCTTTTCTCTACCACTTCTCATATAAGTTTTTGGCACAAAGTATCATAAGGAATTTAATGGTAGGCCGTGGCTCACTGTAGCGTTTGTATTTCATTTATGTTCCCTCCTCTTACTTCGGCTTAAAATCCAAAACGTTTAGTGACAATTGGGTTAAAAAAAGAAA